TCTTCCCTAAGTGTGACCACTTTTTTGTTAATATTTTCTTTGGGTGAGGGGCTGCATTCTTGATTAGATTGCCAAATACACACACACACACACACACACACACTAGAGGCCCAATGCACGAAATTCGTGCAGGGGGCTCGGCCCTCACAGTCCCAACCTCATCCAAAAGGTTGTCCACAAGGACATCTGGAAGGTTGTTCAGCTGTCTGGTTTAATTATATTACGCTTTTATTATATATATACTAGGTTCTAGTAGTATTGAGCAAATTTTTTTACTATTTCATTAATTATTGTTCTTAAATTGAGTTTTGTTTTTTTAATTTTTTTTAAAATATATTTTATTGATTTTTTACAGAGAGGAAGGGAGAGAGATAGAGAGTTAGAAACATCAATGAGAGAGAAACATCGATCAGCTGCCTCCTGCACATCTCCCACTGGGGATGTGCCCGCAACCCAGGTACATGCCCTTGACCGGAAACGAACCTGGGATCCCCCAGTCCGCAGGCCGACACTCTATCCACTGAGCCAAACCGGCTTCGGCTAAATTTAGTTTTTAGAGTTCTACGTAATCTGGATTCTTTTGCACCTTTTCTTCTTGAGTTGAATCTAACTCATGGTTAAATACAGTTTCAGTTCTGTGACAATAGAGTTGACCTTAGAGTGCCCTCACAATTTAAACATAAACCTTATTTTTTAGTTGCTAGCTAGTGTGAGTGAACTGAATTTTCTTATATTGTAATTCGTTAAACCATAACCAAGGTAAAATACTTTTTGAGGGCTTGGATGGGAGGATAAAGCAGCTTCTGTCTTCAACATGAGCATTATTTAGTCGGGCTAATATATGATTTTTAAAAATGCATCACTGTAGCAATTTCCAAGAGAACAATGGAATTATCAAGTTATACCCTAATGCTCATTTAATAACACAGGCCAGTCCTACCACTTCCACTTCAACTGGAATGGCTATGTTTTGACCTCTTTTGCTTATCCTAATAAAGATGTGATTTGAAGATGGGGTGCCTTGGCTAAAAATATTTGAAGTGTCTATTAGTTATGTAAGTAGAGGGGAGTGTGTGTTGCATTTTGGGTGATTTTTTCAGTATTGTCTTCCGTTTCACTCATTCACTCTTTACTATATCTACCTTACATTGTTCATTGCATTTTAAATATTAAACTATATTTTTGTTTCCATGATTTCTAATTGATTATGTACATCTGGTTTTATTTAATTCATTTTTATTAAATAATTTATAATTCTTTCTTAATGAAAGTATAACTTTCATTTATCTCTAGATATTCTCAACATAATTTATTTTACCCTTTCAGGCTATTCTGGAATGAATTCCTGTTCTGCTTTTGTTGATTTTATTGGCTAGCTTAACATTGAGTTTCCTCGTGTATTCTGTAAGATTATGGTTTTCTTTCCGTCACTCTTTCAACCTCTCTGATGGTCTTGTGGGTGCTTCCCTTATGAGCTTCAGGACCTCAATATAAATCCAGGTATATGTTACAACTGGTAACAAATGCCCATAAGGACATTGGGGATATTGCACCCCAAACCAGAGTCACCTGGTGGCAGCATTTTGATTTCTGGTTCAAAGAGATTATGTTTGTGTGTGTGTGTGTGTGTGGTTGTATATATGTATATATGTAGCCTCTCTTTTTGTAGCCTGCTCATTTTTCCTGTGTGTTTGGAACAAAGATTTATTTTTTAGCATAAACTTAACAAATCATTGTACGGTGTTAAAAATCCCACTATCGCAGAGGACTGTTCTAGGTTCCTTCTCCCCAGAGGAAACCAGAATTAATGTGGTGTGTGTAGTGGAGATTTGTGGTTCTTGTGCTGCCCAGCAGTCCACCTTTTACTTTTGGGAGTGGCATTGCCTTTTTGGGACTCCTCTCTCCCCTGCTAGGTATAATCTTGGGGGAATGAAAAATAAAATATACTCATTTCCCCCAGCCAATAGTTGGGGGCACATGAACAAAGCCACACCAACTGGACTCTGGACTTGCTCATGGATCATTGCATATTAATCAGAGCAACCAGAGGATGGTTTAGACTCGGTGTTTACATTGCGGGGCAACTTCAGTGGGTTCTGCAGTGAAGCCCATCAGATCTTCCTGATCCTTGCTCTTTCTGACCTTGTTCTTTTTGGCCTTCCTTTCAGTTCTGTGAGATCCCCTACATTCTTCTGGTAAATTCCGTAGAGGCAGTTCTGTTGCTTACACTCAGGAAAACTTGACTGATAGAATATGGACCCTTACAAGTGTGTGCATCTACAAGCATAAGTTTTCAAGTATAATTTTTATATACTATGCTCACAGCTCAGCAGCTTGCATTTTCCTTACACATGTATTTAGTATCAAACAAAAAACATTTATTGATAGGAGCCCAGTCTTGGTTTTCATCATGTTTTCTATTATTATATTCCTTTCTACAAGACCAGCTCGATGACCTGAAGCCTTTTGTGACTGCCCCAGCCTACAGGGTGGTGCCCTTTCTTCCCCCCTGAATTCCCAAAGTAACTGTCTCTTACTGACCTGACAGTTATTGCCTTGTCACCTATGTGTTTGAGTCCAGGGTGTAAAGGACAATGGTACCTTGCTTTGATGGCATGTCAGAGAGCAGTGGTTCTCAACCTTCTGGCCCTTTAAATACAGCTCCTCATGTTGTGACCCAACCATAAAATTATTTTCGTTGCTACTTCATAACTATAATGTTGCTACTGTTCTGAATCATAATGTAAATATCTGATATGCAGGATGGACTTAGGCGACCTCTGTGAAAGGATCGTTTGACCACCAAAGGGGTCGCGACCCACAGGTTGAGAACCACTGTCATAGAGACTTGTCTCAAGCCTGGCTACCCACACACTTGTCTTTTGAGGGCCCATGATGGCATGTTCACGCTGTTGGATCCAGTAAGTGAGCAGATCCAACACTCACACAGGAAATTTATTTCAGAACCCAGCCCCAAGGACAGTGAAGAAACCAGCTGACCAAAAAGGGATTTGACTCCACTTCCACCTCAGAACCAGCTTCCTGACACTTGTATCATGTAACTGTCTCCCCAACATCTCGCACCTCTCCCTCCCTCATGACATGAAACCCCACACATGCTCTATGACAATCTTCCTTGTCTTCCCATCTCTCCCTGGCACTGGGGATCTTTGTTACCCCTCCACGTGGCTGATAATTTGGAGAAGAGACAGCATCATCTGCCTTGGGTTAGCCAATGGGTGACAATCAATGGCCTTTTTTCCCCCTGTGGCTGGTTCTAGTTCTTAAACTGTCAGAAACTTTCTTGGGAGTTGCATATTAAAGAGACCAAGGCTCTGTGTGTCCTCGACCATGGAGCCTGGATCTGAGGTCACCAATCTGGCCCTATGGGTAGCCCCTAGGAATGCCTTGGTTATAGCATACATAGCATACATGAAGTACTTAGATTGAGTCTTCCAATCCATTAACTTACTTTCAGCAGATGAAATAGGTGAAGGGGATTAAGAGGTACAACCTTCCAGTTATAGAATAACTCTTTCCTTAGCTGGTTTGGCTCAGTGGATAGAGCGTTGCCCTGCAGACTAAAGGATCCCAGGTTTGATTCTGGTCGAGGGCATGTACCTCGGTTGCAGGCTTCTCCCCAGTCCAGGCCCTGGTCGGGGCTCATACAGGAGGCAACCAATCGATGTATCTCTCTCTCACTGATATTTCTCTCTGTCTTTGCCTCTCTCTTCCACTCTCTCTAAAAGTCAATGGAAAAATATTCTCAGGTGAGGATTAAAAAATAATAATGAACTCTTAGGGAAATAGAGGTGGGCAGATTGCACATCTCCATCCAGTCCAAGGGACTTGGTGGAAGTGGGGACTTTAGTAGATAGCTGCTGACTGGTGAGTGGATAGCAAGGTGCTGGGCACAGCAGAAGCCTGGCCTGCTGTAAGGTGAAGGGGGGTGGGACCTTGCCAACAAGCCCCACCACAGGTGCCCTTCCCTCCCCAAAGGCCAGTGGAGCATGTGAGAAGGGTACCCACAATCAGTCCTGAGAAATGGGATTTTTAGTCAAAAGCCACATGGAGACTGTGGCTGTGTTCAAAAAGTTCTTGCCTGTTAGAAATAGATAACGATGTAATTACCAGTAAAGTGATGCTATGGATTTGCTTTAAAATAATTCAGCAAAAAATTAAAAAGTGAATGTTGGGGAGGGGATAATAGGAAACAAGGGCAGAACATTAATAATCATTAAAGCTCACTGACAGGCACTGTATTTGTCAGGGTTATCATAACAAAACACCACTGGGTGTATGAACAACAAATTTACTCACCGTTCTGGAGCCTGGAGGTCCAAAATCAAGGTTTGGTTTTGTTCATTTCTCATGGAAACCCACTTTCAGCAATATGGCAAATGAGATACCCTGCAACAACTTCCCCCCACAAAACAAACACATTTAAAATAATAGACAAACTCTCAAGGAAGCAAGAAAAATCCACAAAAGAAAACCAGAGTTGAGGCCACCGCTGCCCTGTAGAGCCTGCTATTCTAGAAAACTAGAGACTGGGCTTCAAAAGCCATGTGGAGGGAGAGGAGATACTCACTGTCTTTGGCCTGTACAAGGTAGGAGAATGGAGCAGTCCCTACAGCCAAAGGTTGCAGTTTGAGTGAAAGGGTGATCAAAAAAAACAAAAAGAAACCACTACCCGCAAGTCGTTTATCTGTCTTGGGCTTCTGCTCAGAGTTAAGGGGTAGAAAAGTCTCCCCTAAAATTTCACATCATGGGCCTAACCTCACACAGGTTCCAGGTTTGCATTTACACTATCATACAATCAAAAAAAAGAAAACAAAAAAAGACACCCCGACAGAGAAATCATTTTCAAGTGCTTCCTGGTTGGTAGCCTGGGACACTTTGCGGAATCGAATGCAGGTTTCACGTGGAAGGAGTCACTCTCACCAGGCCCCTGGGAAGTCCTTGAAGGTAAGCCAAGGGTTAGTCCACATAAAAGGTCGCCAAACATACAAGCAAGCCACCGTGAGTGAGTCAGCAGAAATGTCAAACAGCGGATCTGGACCCCCAGGGACTCCAGGCAGTAGGTTTACTCTCCTACTTGGACCTGCAGGAGGTCAAACAGAGGAGGCAGCGAAGGCAGAAGCAGCAAACAGATGGGGCTGGCAAGTCAGGTTCTGATTCCTTCGCTGGAGGAGGTGTGGGCTGCATCAAATGGGCTCTCCTGTGCAAGCTCAGCCTGTTGACTGCTT